TCAGAGCAACGCCCTAACACGTGGGCAAATTAAACTCAAACTTTAAAATCTCAATCTGATCTCCAGTCTATACTAATAATCATAAAATGTAATAACTGAGTAGTCTCGAATGCTACTGCTTACTGAAAGCCTTGACCAGGCATCCTCCTTGATGCTTGTTTGCTCTCCTCAAGCTGGCTACCCTCTAACTGTTCCTCTCGAACCCGCTGCTATCTAACTACTCCTCTATCTCCTCCTCTAGATTTTCAAACTGGTGATTGAATTGGGGTCAGTCTACGCCCTTATGTTTAACATCTTATTAATACTTGATAACTTTACTTAACTTAGTAGAAGTTGTTTCGTACTTCCACTATTAAAAATCTTAACTCTTAAAACTGTATTCTTAAAGCTCAAATATCAACTTAAATTCTTGACTGACACGGGGATCCCTCACTAGCTAGTCCAGTTGCCAACTCATACGTATGAGAGTCCATCCAGGCTTTCTTTAAACTTAAACTTATCGTGGAAGGCTCTTCTTCCACGATTCTCAAGAGCATAACTGCTGCTCATCTTAAAATATCTCAAGAGCATAACTGCTGCTCATCTTAAAAGTCTCAAGAGCATAACTGTTGCTCTATCTCAAAAGTATCAAGAGCATAACTGCTGTTCTATCTCAAAATCTCAAATGACAACGGACTGACACTAGTGACTAAAAACTCTTAAAACGATTTCACCTTCTTGAAGGTGAAGTACTTCTTAAAAAGAACTTGTTTGTTAAACTTTAACAATCACTCATAATGTAAAGCTTTAAGGTAATTAAATAACACACATTCACTTCAAATCATATAAGTACACAAAAGGCAAGTATGACACATAGCAGTCAATCTCAAAACTTAAATATCGTAAAGCAAATACTTGAAAATACGTAAGGCGTAGAATTTACCATCTTTACACTCACCTTATGATAAGTGTATTGGTTCGAACAAACCATCATTTAAATGTTGATCGTCTTAGAGTCCCCACCAAGAGCTTTATAAGTGATCATCCCTCTCACGTCTTCATCAAATCCCCACTGTATAATGAGAGCGGATCCGGTGACTAAGGGGGGGGGTGCTTAGTCACTTGACTAAGCCCCTCCCAGCCCTTAGATCTGGACACTTCAATCTAATGGTTAAAAAGTGGGAAGGGCTATTTAATTAATGACAGGGTAGTATACAAACCGGATTTACAATCAGTACAAACCATACAAACATACGAACAATACAAACTAGAGCGACAAAACATACAAACAGATTTACAAACATTACAAACGTATGAACTGTACAAACAATACAAACTAGACCGACAAACAATACAAACCATACAAAAAGAAAAAACAACCGGGTTGACTTTTGAGGCTCCATCCCTATATAGAGGGGCTCCTTCCCAAAGTCAACCCGGGTGTTTTTTAGACATACAAACAGTACGAACATGGTGGACAAAAATGACAAACTAGACCGACAATCCATACGAACGGGAAAAAACACCCGGGTTGACTTTGGAGGCTTCATCCCTATATAGAGGGGCTCCTTCCCAAAGTCAACCCGGGTGTTTTTTAGACATAAAAAACATTACGAACATGGTGCACAAAAATGACAAAGTTTACAAACATGGTGCACAAAAATAACAAAGTTTACAAACATTACAAAAAAACCGACAAACATTACAAAATAACAAAGCATACAAACATTACAAAATCTGTCAACAAACATCACTAAATTAGCACTGTCGCCGGGAAATTCTTCTCCGACCAGAAAATTTTCCGACAAAAAACTCTCTCTCTCTCTCTCTCTCTCTCTCTCTCTCTCTTTCTCTCTCTCTCTCTCGTAGTTGAAGTGGGGAATTCCACAAGAGTTCCCAGCACCTCTCTCTCCGGGGAATTCCAGGGAATAATGGCGGATGATGGGAGCAATTTCTTGCCCCGGAAATTGGACGGAGACGAAGCGGCCGTCCCGGAAATTGGATGGAGACGAAGCGGCGCAAGGGACGGGCCGACGCGGACGGCTGTTTTTTTATTTATTTTATAATTAAAAGTAAAAATTAAATATGCAATTATTACAATGCCCTTCATTAAATTGGATTAATAGGAGCCCTTAGATTTTAATGAGGTTGAGTGGTTGAGATTCACTTAGCCATGTGACTAAAGGGACCCCCTTAGTCACCTGATCTTAGCCCCTGTATAATTCCATCCGTCCCATCAATCCACACGTCCAAATTTCCATTATGTATATAATTCCAAACCCTAGCAATGCAATATCACTTCCTCGTGGTCTCTAGTTCCCTCCTTTTGCTGCGAAATCGAGGTCAAAAACCTGGAGGCACATGGCAGATGGCTGGGAAGCCTGATTGCTCATCTTCCCCAATAGTAAACAGGAAGTTTTGTTGCTGGAGCTGCTGGAGGAAAAGGACGGAGGAAAGAGTGAGATTGGAATCCTAAATTGAAGTTGAGGCCACGATCGAGGAAACTGACGATGTCGTCGTTGCAACCGATCACCACTTTGCCTCTACCGCTGGAAGAGCAATCGATCTTACCGGAGATTTCGTCCGGAATCGACATGGGAACTTCTTCGGGGGATTTCTTTATTTTGTGCAAGGGAAAGGAGGTGTTCCAGGCGATGCAGCTTGGCCACTTACCTCTTGGTTTCTTGTGACCGCTAAACTCCACCACGCCCCCCACCCCCAAATTCAATTCTTTTGCTTGTCGATCTGCTACTCCTGGTCGGGGTTGTAGTGGGGCTTTTGAAGGGAAGGATGGACCGGGATGCAGAGCTGCTGTTCTCGTGTGATGCAAAGGAAGGGAGTGATTTGTTTCTGCTGCCTCTGCGTGCGGCTTTAGGGTTTTCCCACACTTTTTTTATTGATAATAATATAATTATAATATTTATTTCTATATAATTATATTATTATTATTATTATTCATAATTCACGGTTGAAATCCTTCGTACGTCACCCTCAATCCAACCACTCTCTTAATATGGTCGAACCTGAACCTAATTATCTCTGGGTGTTACCTTTCCTTCCCCCTTAAAATAATTTCGTCCCCGAAATTGAAACTGAACGCTCGACTTCTGGACTATAAACATCTTATCTCGTCTGGGATATCACGGTGGTGGTGTAGTTCTCCTGGGCATCATTGAGGGTCTTCGAGGTGTAGTAGATAGGACGGAAGTGTTGATCTCGCATCTGCCCCAAGACAGCTCCAACCGCAAAGTCACTGGCATCGCACATAAGCTCAAACGGTAGGGACCAATCAGGGGTGACCATGATAGGAGCATGGGTGAGCTTCTCCTTCAAAGTCGTGAATGCTGCTATGCATGCATTGATGAACTGGAAGGGGGCATCCTTCTCAATGAGCTTTGTCAGGGGTAGGGCGATCTTCGAGAAATCCTTGATGAACCGCCTGTAGAACCCTGCATGGCCTAAGAAACTCCGGATCCCCTTAACAGATGTGGGAGGATGCAGCTTACTGATAGTCTCGATCTTGGCCCTATCCACCTCAATCCCCATCTTGGAGATCTTATGCACTTCGCGAACCATGAAGTGAACTCAGTGCCAGGTTGTCTCTTCACATCGTTTAAGGACGAGTTCTAGGTTATGGAGACAGTGAGATAATGAGTCCCCATAAACCAAAAAGTCGTCCATAAACACCTCCATAATCTCGCCGACCAGGCGGTCAAAGATGGCGAGCATGCATCGCTGAAAAGTGGCAGGGGCATTGCATAGCCCGAATGGGATCCTCCGGTAGGCGAATGTGCCGAAGGGCAGGTGAAAGTGGTCTTCGCCTGGTCCTCCGGTGCAATGGGGATCTAGAAATACCCGGACATCCCATCCAGGAAACAGTAGAACTCGTGCCCCGCCAGTCTCTCCAGCATCTGATCAATGAATGGCAGCGGGAAATGATCCTTCCGGGTGGCGACGGTAGTCGATGCAGACGCAGTACCCGGTCACTGTGCGCATAAGTATGAGCTCATTCTTCTCATTGGGTACCAGGGTCATCCCGCCCTTCTTAGGCACCACCTAGGTTGGACTAACCCACTCACTGTCGGAGATGGCGAAGATGATCCCCGCATCATTCAGCTTCACGATCTCCGCCCGAACCACAGCCTCCAGGTTCGGGGTCAATCTCCGCTGGGTTGTCTTACCGGCTGTATCTCATCCTCTAGCAATATTCGGTGGGAGCATAAGGAGGGGCTGATCTCCCGGATATCAGTGATCTTCCACACCAGAGCTCTCTTGTACTACTTCAGCAGGGCCATTAGTCTGACCTTTTGCTCAAGTGTGAGGGTTGAGCTAATGATGACTGGGAGCTTGTTCTCCTCCCGTAGAAATGCATACTCCAAGTGAGGAGGGAGGGGGCTTTAGCTCCAGCTCTGGTGGCTCCTCCAAGGAGGTAATGATGCGAGGTGAGGATGAGATCGGTTTGAACAGCCTATCGCCCTCCAAAAATGCGCCACTCTCCAGCGCGGCCAACTGCTCCTCCAGTTGTGGCTCCTGCAATGCCTACTCACTTCAGCAAAATACAACGCTCAAGAGCATCGTTTAGTACCCGCACTCGTTATGGCGAGTGTGGTCTCAAAATCATCAAGCATGTCATAGTAATCTAAGTCATCATGCAAATGTGAGTGTTTCCCATTCTCAGACACAGAAAAAGTAGCCAATTCATCCCCATGCACGCAAGATCAGTTTACCACTATGCACATTGTAGACACCCCATTTTGTCCGGGTCAATTAATCAACAAAATTAACTTATTTGAAATGTAGTAAGATAATTAGATTGGTCATTGCGAGTCTAAAATATCGATGAACGTACAATATGTTTGAATTCGATTATAGTGTAAAAAGAGGAGACTTTTCGCATCTTTGTTGCAAAATCAAATTTCCGCTTTTAACACAACATAAATGATAATAATAATAATAATAATAATAATAATAATAATAAAGAAGCACATTTTATTAAAATTATTACTAATTGACAATTACAAAGAATTACTACATGAAAATTACAATCAATACTTGTTTCTTCCATCTCTTCTTTAGCCAGCCAGCCAGCCATGAACCTAGTTCAAGCCCAAGATTTCGGCCACAAGTCCAAATTCAAGCCCATGCCACAAGGCCAGATCAAGCCGAAAGTCAATGCTCGGTCAAGCCCAAATGCAAGGTCCAACTCCAAGACAAGCCCACATGGTCAAGAGCAGGCCGGTCAGCTCAGAAGCTGACCCCAACCAACAGACGGACTGGTCGAACCAGAACTGGTCCGACCTAACCCAGAAACCACCCGCCTTTTTGTATAAAAGAGGCACAATTCTCAAGGAGAAGGGGACAGCTTTTCAGAGGGGAAAACACTGGGGAAAACTTTCACTTCTTTCTTGGTCAGTTTCTGGTTTCAGAGTTTCTTTCTTTTCTTGGTCTATTCAGAGAGGGGAAACGCTGGAATATATAGGAAGATACAAAACACTTTTTTTCCCTTTTTATTTTCTGTCAAATAAAAGCAAAAGGGATCTAGGCCAACAGAAGCCCAACGAGGTTTGTATTGAGCAAAACCCAGGTTCTCATTACAATTCTAATGATATATTATTGATTTACTGCCATTTTATTCTCTTTTCCCACTCTTCCCCTTTTGTCAAAACTAACTCTATATTATTGTTATTATTATTATCGTCCATAATCATCACTATTACCATTTACATACAACGCTTTTAAAGAAGAAAGTTTAATCAGCTCCAATCAAACTACAACATGACCCAATTTGATTTAAAAGGCTAATCAAAATTCAAAACTAATCACTCCCACTGTATTAGTTTGTCCATTCAGATTTTGTTCTACTTTCAATTCCATTATTTATTTCTCCCAAACTCAGTTACTTTATTATGTCAACCTACAATAGCTAATTTTCTATCTATTAGTTAAGCTTAAAATTAATATTACCTAGTATAGCTATTTACTATGCTATTTACTCTCTCATATACCATTCCTTATTTATCTCGTATTTTCATTCCTTTATTTTCTAGTACATATATAACTATATCATGATTCATGTGTATGGAATAAAAAAGTCACCACACCGTCGCCAATCCTCTACGCTATCAATCCATCGGTTCACCACAAAAAACCCACCAAACAAACCTCAAACACCAGATTTAGAAGAACACAACCATTCCCTTCAAAATCTCAAATCTCATAGTCGTTAATTAGTGACTAAACCACCTACTAAAGCCAGACCCCAATCCCAAACTCGGGAACTTTAATCACAAAATTTCCTAACCTAATTAGTTAACACAGGTTAACCGAAACCAAAATAAGCGTAGGGAGAAACCTCACCTAGATCTAGCCACTTTTTGTAACCTGCGAAAATGGAGAAGGGGTCAGTATTTGAGTAAACCGAAGATAGTAGAATCAAAACCGAAAAATTACCCTTTAGGCTCACCGTCGTTTGTCCATCGATCTAGTCACCGCCGGCGACTCCCTCGTCCGCCATTAAACCCAGAAGCCCAGGAATTAGAAGAGTCCGAAATAAAAATCAGAAAAAATGAAAAACAACACCATTGCATGTCACTATTTTACCTAGAATCGAGATACTCTCGGTTGATTTAGTTCGCCTCGAACGATCTCCTTGGCTAGCATAGACGAGAGAGAGAGTCCCTTTGGGTGGTTGGAGACGAGGAGAGGAAGAATAAGGTGGCGGCGGAGTCATTGAGGAAGGGTGAAGAGCTTTTTCTTTTTGGCGTTCGTCTGAAGAGGAAGAGAAGAAGAATCGAGAAGGAAAAAACAAGAGAGAGAGGCGAAGTTGGCGTTCTTTGGGTTCTGGAAGAAGAGAGAGACGCAAGAGATGGGAAGGATCGAGAGAGAGGCGGCTGCTATAGCCGATTTAGGTTTAGGGTTTTTTTAGAGATTTTTTATACTAGGCGTTTTAAAAGGACTAAAATGCCCCTAGGGTTTATCGCTAATTACTCAGTCCTCCCACCGCGTTTTGAGAACTTACGAAAATACCCCTCCATCGTCTCTGAATTAAAAACAACGGTTAAAAAATGCTGTGAGTGGGTTTAGAACCCTCGTCGCGGGAAATCAAGTGCCGGATTAGCAAGTTAACCAGTTGGGCTATTGGTCCAACATGCTTAATCTTAGCCATCCCGTTAAATTTTATTTGTTTAAAACTCTTAATACGAAATTTTGAATGCAAATTATGTTAATCCTGTTTATATTCTAATACACCAAATTTCTTCTTAATAACTAAAATCCTTTCATTTATTTTCATAAAAATCATAATAATCTAAATGAAATTTTATTAACAAAATTATAATACGAGGATTTCCTTTAGTGGAACGTGGTAAAAGCTATAACTAAAACTATCAAAGTTAACAAAATCCTCAATACGAAAACCACTATAAGTGTAACGTGATAAAAGTCATATTTTAAAACTATAAAGGTTACTTATCGAACTACGCGGACTTTGATCCCGATTACTTGGGTACGTAGGCAACAAATAGTTTCGAGTCAAACTAATCAAAATTCTCTCTTTAATTCTCAAGATTTACATCAATAGGTGTAAAATCGAATCATATTACACTTATATTAATCCTATAATTAAATACGCAGTAAGCCACAAATAATAAAACACCTGCAACCTTTTAAAACTTATCGATTTAAGTAGTACCAATTTTGGGCGTTGTGGGGTGTGAATACACTTCCCCACACGGTAAACGTACTCCCGAACCCAAATCTTAAATTTCGTAGACCAAATTCCGATTTCGACCATAAGGTCAAGACCGGACCAAATGAGTGTTCGATCCAATCCAAGTAAGGTCGATGGCGACTCCGAGTTTGACGCGACGGATCCCCCGATCTCGAGGGGCGGTTGCGACAGTGGCGACCTCCGCTGGGGACTTTGAGAGTCGATCTACAATATTAAATCGATAAGCTTCCCTTACCATCTTTAACGTGTTGGGTGTTTATTATATTGTTTGTGCATTTAATTTAACTCGTATTTAATTATTTACATTCATACATCAAAGCTCTATACCCGAGCTCTACCTCTAAGGGAACGGAGTAACGTTACCTCTACAATAGTAGAGGAATAACGCGAAACTTTCTAACCAAGTTGAACTCAAATCCGAGGTTGATTTGAGGTATCCAGCTAAGCTTGAAAGAGCAATAGTAGGATACAACTTGGTTAATTTCCTAGATATCCGTACGACCTTACCAACCATTTAGTAAGCTTACCAGCCGCCCAACACCATCTCGTATAAACCTTGTCGTCTAACCTTACAAATCTTATGTTTATTTAATTAGAGAATTTTTTTTGTTTATGTAGATATATTTTTGCCTACGATGTGATAATTTATGCATTATCAATTACTCATAAATAATGTGATTTTATTTTTCACATAAAATCTTTTCAAAATGCATGACATTAGCAGTTTTCCTATTCAAACAAAAACCATAAAAAATAAAGTGCATACATCCATCCAGGTTATCTTTGCATTCATGCATTCAAATCATTTAGCACCACAAACGATTTAATAACAATAAATTTGCCAGGGTTCCTTAAAATTGCTCGTCTACGAGGAAAAAGTCAGCCTTCTAAGCACTTCACTAGATCAAAACTCAAGGTCTTCATGGAGGCATTTCAGAAAGAGATAAACGACATCAATGGGAAGCTAACGGGGTTTGATGAGAAACTGACGGGATTTGATGAAAAACTGGCGGGTTTTTGATGAGATGAAAGGTCAACTCAGCACAATTTTGAGCATACTGTCAGGAAAAGGAAAAGGGGTTGCAACCAACGAAGAAGAAGCCATATTCGACGAAGAAGATCACTATGAAACAACCTAAAGTAGATGCCTCGAGTAGTAAATTTATTCTCATACCTTCGAAGAACATAGGTGAAAAAGATGGCATGGAACAACCAAAGCATGACAAATCAGAAGAGACTGAGAAGCATGAGGAACATGGGGTTGATGCTATGCTGAAAGAAAAATTAGAGCACATGAATGAACGAATAAGAAGCATAGAGGGATTTGAATCCTATGAGCCTATGGATGCATCACAGCTATGTTTAGTCCTAGATGTCATAATTCCTCATAAATTTCAAATGCCAAATTTGAAAGATATAATGGCACTACTTGCCCAAGAAGTCATTTGGTCATATTTTGTAATAAAATGGCGAACTATATTTCGTGATGAAAGGTTTGACGATACATTGCTTCCAAAATAGCCTGAGTAGCTCCGCGCTGAGATGGTATATGCAGTTAGAGAAAACAAAAGTGAAAACGTGGCAAGACTTAGCTGATGCATTCATGAGGCATTATAAGCATAACCAGGATTTGGCCCCAGATCGAGAGGACATACGAAATATGGAAAAGACTGAGAAGGAATCTTTCAGAGAGTATGCTCATAGGTGGAGAGAGAAGGCGGCAGATGTTCAACCCCCACTATCAGAAAAGGAAATGGTGTCAATCTTCTTCGGAACATTGAGGGTTCCATATTACAACAACATGGTGGGAATTACCACAACCAACTTTGCGGACTTGCTAGTAATTGGAGAGCGAATTGAAAAGGGATTGAAGCAAGGCCGGATGGAAAGCCTGGAAGCCTCAAAGAAACCATACCAAACTCGAACGGGAGATGGAGAGATTCATTCTGCTCAAGAAGACTCATCAAGAAGAAGAAGGTGGAATCACCAACCTCAAGACAATCAAGCTCATCCCTATGTTTCAAATACCGCATTGATTACTCAACGTCCGAATTTTCCTACTCAATCACCAGTGGCACCACCACCAAATAACCAAGACCAAAATTATTCTAGGAGATACAAAAACACCCATCCAAATTGACCCTATTCCTATTACATACACCGAACTTTTCCCGCAACTACTACAAAGTCATCTAATTTCCCTAATTCCATCTGAGCCTATGCATCCTCCCTTCCCAAACTGGTACAAGTCAGATCAACATTGTGATTACCACTCGGGAGTCGCAGGACACTCAACTGAAAATTGCAGATCATTCAAGTTTAAGGTGCAACAGATGATCAATGCTGGTTGGTTGAAATTTGAAGAGGCGTCAAAGCGTCCAAACATAAACAATAATCCGCTGCCGGCTCATGAGAAGTAGTAGGTGTACTACAAAGCAATGCTCGATTCAAGGATGATGTTGGTCCTATTACGTAAATAACTGCATCGAGCTAATTTCCTTAACAACAAATGTATCACCTTTGCTTTCATCATTATAAATAAAAAATCTCCCACCTTTCGACCTCTTTGGAATGTTGTGTGAATATTATCAACCTTAATTTAGAAGTTTGCATCGATTGGTTTTTCATTGTCCAAATGACGAATGTTATTCCCAATTTCTTTAAATTTGATGGAAGCCATCCAAACCTAGTTTTATTTCCAATTCAAGCCATGAGATTGCCATGCTAAGCAAATTTGAGCACCCCACTGGTGTTTCGATTGAATATAAACACCCCATTGGGTGTACACAAATTGTGTGAGTGAATAGTAAAAAGGTGTAACGAGCGTATGACATCAGGCTACTTGTAGAATCTCGTCACCATCGTTGCCAACTTTTGCTAGCGAATTGGGATCCAAATACATCTGAAGCCAACCAGGAAAAATTCAAATAAGCCCAATGGCATTAGAAGTTTTGCTTCTTCGAGAGAAGAGTAACCAACCAGCCAATCTAAGGAGGAAATACACTTACATTGTGAAGTACTAACCTTTTGATACTCCTGTCTAGTTATACAAATGTCAGAGGGGAGAATAAGGAAAGCATATTTTGTGCCATAACCAAGTTAAGTAAGTCCTACGACAAAAAAAAAGCAAAGCAAAGCAAAAAATAAAAGCAAAGAAAAATAAAAATTGTTGTGGGACTTACATGTTAGAGGCCCTTTCATTAGCATTTGAAGTCAACCATTCATGACAAATCAAAATTTTTGCCGGCTAATACCAACAGAAAACCTTAAGCAAAGAACCTATGTGATGAGACTTCCCATAGCCAAACTCGCATTCACAATTACCTCATTTATTCACTACCTAACCTCACCTGCTCAAAACAAAATCTCATACAAGGGGGGCAATGTAATACGCATTCCCCAACATGTCCAAAAGCCACTACTATTTTTGAGGAAGTAAAACTTCCTCGACAAAAACCATGATAATTGCCATTAGGATCACTCTGGTCCATCATTTAACCTAATACTTCGGGGGCAAGCCAAGATCCCTTTACAAGAAACTTCACAGGACTAAAATCAGACTTCGTAAGAATCTCCTCATTTGAAAAACCATTACCCCGAACATATTTGACAATCAACATAGAAGAAGGCCTCTCATAGTGACCCGAATCTTAATGGCAGCTGAAATGTCATATGCTCAAAGCATCCCTAGGGATGAGTGAGAATGAAATCAAGCGTGACATCGAAAATGAGAGTAGAGTGAGTGCTTTTGGATTTTCTCATGGCTTTACTTGCTCCCTTCTTATTGAAAAATTCAAAAATGTTTTAGCAACATGAAATAACCACACAAAATTGTATCAAATTCTTACACACTTTTCTCAATCAAATATTTCAACAAGAAGTTCCCATGATACTTTTCCATTCACATTTGTCATACATTTTTGCACTCATCTTAAGTTAAGGTTGATAAAGCCAATCTTTGTTCCAAATAATAGAAAGTGAGCATACCTTAAAGAAGAGGAGTTGACAAGCCAAACTACCGAACCTTTCAACTCAACAGTTTAGAAATCTCAAAGATCTTGACAACACCTTTGACTGCGTTCAACCAATCAGTTGCCGTCCGTGACAGAAGAGGCATGCTACACTACATTAATGAAATCGAAGAACCCTGTCTTGGACAACAAGGAGCCCGAAGGTGGTCTGATTAAGAGCTCGCAATATTGAGCACAACTGAGGATCAAGGCTACAAGAAACAATGACACAAGTTCTTGTGGGTGATCAATTTAAAGGAGCCCACAGCAAAAGACAAAAAGAAAACATATTCTCAAACCATTTGATAATGCATCACATCATTTTTTTCATACAACATTCAGGACTTTATCATTCATTTAGCATGACTCATCACACAATCATTTTCAAAATCATTTTGATACCCATTAGAAAACATCATCATATCAACAATCATACTCATTAACATTCATTCCCAAATACATTTTGAAATTCATCAAGATTTCAAGTACAACAATTATGTTTCCGACTTCATAAAAGTCTAACATTAGCTTTTCACTAACAATTAGAACTTGTCTTAATTTCACTTTAGACATGGCCTTAACAAATCCATAAACAAACTAAATTGGTGCTGGCGAGCGCCTGAAAAATACGACCCTGACGCTGGTGAGCGTTCGAAAAGTACACTGGTGCTGGCGAGCGCTTGAAAAATACGACACCGACGCTGGTGAGCGTTCGAAAAGTACACTGTGCTGGCGAGCGCCTGAAAAATACGACACTGATGCTAGTGAGCGTTCGAAAAGTACATTCGTGCTGGCGAGCGCTTGAAAAATACGACACCGACGCTGGTGAGCATTCGAAACGTACACTAGTGTTGGAGAGCGCCTGAAAAATACTACACCAATGCTAATAAGCATAAAACAATTAAACATCAAAATAAATTCATCAGTTAGTGTTCACGTACGTTTCGTTTGCGTCATCATAAAAAAACCAACAAATAGCGCTGACGTGCGTTTCTTTTACGTCATCATTAAGGAAAATGTAACAATTGGCGATGACGAACGCCAAAAAAAAAAACATACGTCACCAACAAAATATAATCCTATATTGAAATGAGAAAATGTTGTGTCTATACGGAAACTTTGTATAACTCTTTACATAAAGAGATATACAAAGGGGGGCAACTGTAGACACCCCATTTTGTCCGAGTCAATTAATCAACAAAAATTCTAACTTAATTTTGAAATGTAGTAAGATAATTAGATTGGTCATTGCGAGTCTAAAATATCGATGATCGTACAATATGTTTGAATTCGATTATAGTGTAAAAAGAGGAGACTTTCGCATCTTTGTTGCAAAATCAAATTTCCGCTTTTAACACAACATAAATAATAATAATAATAATAATAATAATAATAAAGAACATTTTATTAAAATTATTACTAATTGACAATTACAAAGAATTACTACATGAAAATTACAATCAATACTTGTTTCTTCCATCTCTTCTTTAGCCAGCCAGCCAGCCATAAACCTAGTTCAAGCCCAGATTTCGGCCACAAGTCCAAATTCAAGCCCATGCCACAAGGCCAGATCCAGCCGAAAGTCAATGCTCGGTCAAGCCCAAATGCAAGGTCCAACGCCAAGACAAGCCCACATGGTCAAGAGCAGGCCGGTCAGCTCAGAAGCGACCCCAACCAACAGACGGACTGGTCGAACCAGAACTGGTCCGACCTAACCCAGAAACCACCGCCTTTTTTTTCTATAAAAGAGGCACAATTCTCAATGAGAAGGGGACAGCTTTTCAGAGGGGAAAACACTGGGGAAAACTTTCACTTCTTTCTTGGTCAGTTTCTGGTTCAGAGTTTCTTTCTTTTCTTGGTCTATTTAGAGAGGGGAAACGCTGGAAATATAGGAAGATACAAAACACTTGTTTTCCCTTTTTATTTTCTGTCAAATAAAAGCAAAAGGGATCTAGGCCAACAAAAGCCCAACGAGGTTTGTATTGAGCAAAACCCAGGTTCTCATTACAATTCTAATGATATATTATTGATTTACTGCCATTTTATTCTCTTTTCCCACTCTTCCCCTTTTGTCAAAATTAACTCTATATTATTGTTATTACTATTATCATCCATAATCATCACTATTACCATTTACATACAACGCTTTTAAAGAAGAAAGTTTAATCAGCTCCAATCAAACTACAACATGACCCAATTAATTTAAAAGGCTAATCAAAATTCAAAACTAATCACTCCCACTGTATTAGTTTGTCCATTCAGATTTTGTTCTACTTTCAATTCCATTATTTATTTCTCCCAAACTCAGTTACTTTATTATGTCAACCTACAATAGCTAATTTTCTATCTATTAGTTAAGCTTAAAATTAATATTACCTAGTATAGCTATTTACTATGCTATTTACTCTGTCATTTACCATTCCTTTATTTATCTCGTATTTTCATTCCTTTATTTTCTAGTACATATATAACTATATCATGATTCATGTGTATGGAATAAAAAAGTCACCACACCGTCGCCAATCCTCTACGCTATCAATCCATCGGTTCACCACAAAAAACCCACCAAACAAACCTCAAACACCAGATTTAGAAGAACACAACCATTCCCTTCAAAATCTCAAATCTCATAGTCGTTAACGAATGAATAAACCACCTACTAAAGCCAGACCCCAATCCCAAACTCGGGAACTTTAATCACAAAATTTCCTAACCTAATTAGTTACCACAGGTTAACCGAAACCAAAATAAGCGTAGGGAGAAACCTCACCCAGATCTAGCCACTTTTTGTAACCTGCGAAAATGGAGAAGGGGTCAGTATTTGAGTAAACCGAAGATAGTAGAATCAAAACCGAAAAATTACCCTTTAGGCTCACCGTCGTTTGTCCATCGATCTAGTCACCGCCGGTGACTCCCTCGTCCGCCGTTAAACCCAGAAGCCCAGGAATTAGAAGAGTCCGAAATAAAAATCAGAAAAAATAAAAAACAACACCATGCATGTCACTATTTTACCTAGAATCGAGATACTCTCGGTTGATTTAGTTCGCCTCGAACGGTCTCCTTGGCTAGCATAGACGAGAGAGAGAGTCCCTTTGGGTGGTTGGAGACGAGGAGAGGAAGAATAAGGTGGCGGCGGAGTCATTGAGGAAGGGTGAAGAGCTTTTCTTTTTGGCGTTCGTCTGAAGAGGAAGAGAAGAAGAATCGAGAAGGAAAAACAAGAGAGAGAGGCGAAGTTGGCGTTCTTTGGGTTCTGGAAGAAGAGAGAGACGCAAGAGATGGGAAGGATCGAGAGAGAGGCGGCTGCTATAGCCGATTTAGGTTTAGGGTTTTTTTAGAGATTTTTTATACTAGGCGTTTTAAAAGGACTAAAATGCCCCTAGGGTTTATCGCTAATTACTCAGTCCTCCCACCGCGTTTTTTGAACTTACGAAAATACCCCTCCCTCGTCTCTGAATTAAAAACAACGGTCAAAAAATGCTGTGAGTGGGTTTAGAACCCTCGTCGCGGGAAATCAAGTGCCGGATTAGCAAGTTAACCAGTTGGGCTATTGGTCCAACATGCTTAATCTTAGCCATCCCGTTAAATTTTATTTGTTTAAAACTCTTAATACGAAATTTTGAATGCAAATTATGTTAATCCTGTTTATCTTCTAATACACCAAATTTCTTCTTAATAACTAAAATCCTTTCATTTATTTTCATAAACATCATAATAATCTAAATGAAATTTTATTAACAAAATTATAATACGAGGATTACCTTTAGTGGAACGTGGTAAAAGTTATAACTAAAACTAGCAAAGTTAACAAAATCCTCAATACGAAAACAACTATAAGTGTAACGTGATAAAAGTCATATTTTAAAACTATAAAGGTTACTTATTGAACTACGCGGACTTTGATCCCGATTACTTGGGTACGTAGGCAACAAATGGTTTCGAGTCAAACTAATCAAAATTCTTTCTTTAATTCTCGAGATTTACATCAATAGGTGTAAAATCGAATCATATTACACTTATATTAATCCTATAATTAAATACGCAGTAAGCCACAAATAATAAAACACCTGCAACCTTTTAAAACTTATGGATTTAAGTAGTACCAATTTTGGGCGTTTTGGGGTGTGAATACACTTCCCCACATGTAAACGTACTCCCGAACCCAAATCTTCAATTTCATAGACCAAATTCCGATTTCGACCATAAGGTCAAGATCGGACCAAATGAGTGTTCGATCCACTCCAAGTAAGGTCGATGGCGACTCCGAGTGTGACGCGACGGATCCCCCGATCTCGAGGGGCGGTTGCGACACACATCAATAAGCGCCTTGGCGGTGGCGAGAAATGGTCTACCCAAAATCAAAGGCACATCCACATCCTCATTTATATCCAGAATAACAAAATCAACATGATATGTGAATGCGCCTACATTAACAAGTAGATCCTCTATGATACCCCTAAGATGCATAATAGAATGGTAAGCTAACTGAATGCTCATCCTAGTAGTTCTAGGCTCACCTAGGTCTAGCTTCTTAAGAAATTTATAAGGCATGACATTTATGCTAGCTCCTAAATCCGCCAAGGACTTCCCTACATGCATGCTGCCAATAACAAGAGGGATGGCAGAACACAACTCGCTCAACATCACTGTCGAGAGATCCCTAAGTATCTTCTTGTTGGTGAGGAGATCCTTCATGAATTTGGCGTACTTGGGCATCTTCGAAGTGCCTCCACGAACGGCATGCTGATGTTGACCTACTTCAACATTGCCATGAACTTGGCAAACTCAGTTTCCAGCTTGTCTTTGTATAGGCTGGTGGGGAAGGTAAGCTGGGGTACATGCTCCTTAACCACTGGCTGTGGCTTGGGAGGAGGCGCTTCTTTCTCCATCCCCACTTCTGCATCTTCAGCTAGAAGTATTGAAGCAGGTAGGGCTCTTCTTGCCTGGTCGGGGCAGGGGCGACAGATGTGGTCTTGCCACTCCTGGTAGTGATGGCATCTAGTTGCCGGTAAGACTCGTGAGGATTTGGAATGGTGGTGGCAGGCAAATTCCTCGCCGCTCTGGTGTTATTCTGACGAGCAATGCCACCAATCTGATTCTGAAGATCCTGCAGTATAGCACCCTGGTTCCTTTGGCCTGCCTCTAGATAAGTTATGTTCTGGTCCATCCTGGCAAAATTCTCCTGACGGGTAGTCATGAATGCCTGCAAAATATTTTTCAGCTCCGTCATCTGGGTATCTGTAGCTAGAGCTGCTGGCAGCTGGGCATACTGGCACTGCAGCTGCTGGAATGGCTACCCCTGTCTGGGCTGCTCTTGGGGTATAGAAGACTCTCGCATGGCCTGGCAGTCTTCCACCAGATTGTTCGAACTCTCACACCATTGACATTGAGAAACTGGAGGCCCGGCTAGTCCTCTGCCGGGAATAAGACTGTTGGGCTGCTTCAATGTCTGGACCAGCTCGGCCACCTCCCGCTCTAGCCTGGACCTAGCCTTCCTGGCGTGCACACCTCAGTCCCAGGAACTCCTGCTTCTGGTGCTCTACCCCCAAGAGTGATCCCAAGCAGCCAGAGTACTCATCTGATTCATCTCGGTTGGAGTCTTGGTGAGAATATCCCCTCCTGGTAGACCTAGCAATCGGGTCGGGTTGGGTAAGTTCGGGTTGGGGACTTCCTTTACGGGTCGGGTCATGCTTGGTTGGCTGATTTTGGGTCAAATATTGACCCAACCTATTCAGTTTCGGATCGGGTTACATATCATTTCGGGTTACGAGCGTTCTCAGAAACAATATCAACCATGCTTCATATTTTTTTAAAGAACCCAAATTTTCACATATGTGTGACAATAGTTTACCTAGCACATGTCAATTAACATATTCTCAAATCCACCCACACTAATGAAATGAAATATAAATTACACAAATCTTCAAAAAACAATCACAAGAGTAATACTACTACAAGAAACACATGATATTTGATTATCCTTAAACTCCAAACATGTCATTCAAATCCTTATAATTTTTTTAAACATCTCACCAATTTATGAGTGATTTATCATATTTTGGGAGTGATATATGAAATGGAACTGGTCTAACAGGTCGACCAGCTAACCACCCAATCCAACCCAAAAAATCATGGGTTATCGGGTTTGGGTCATTCGGATTTCGGGTTATAAAAATTTCTAATTTTCGCGCGGTTTCGTGTTGGGTCAACGGGTCGGGTTATAATTTGCCAGGTCTACCTCCCAGGCATAGAGACTCGATCACCCTCTAGCCTTCTGGGTCAGAGCGCTGTAGAAATTCCCCACTGTGAATGCATCACTGAAGTCGTGATGGGGACACTGCCAAAAGAACCACGAGTACCGCTCCCAGGCATCACGTAGTGACTCATCTGGCTCCTTGTGGAAATGAGTGATCTCCCGCTGAATCTCTGTGGTCTTCGAGGTCGGATAATACCTGTGCACAAATTTGTCGGCCAAGTCGTCCCACGATGTGATGGATAGTGGGGGCTGGGTCTCTAACCACCTCTTGCATGCCCCGCCAGAGAATGGGGGAATAGGTGGAGACGGATGGTGCACCCATTCATCTTGAATCCATTTGTCAGCTGCAGGAACCGCGAAAGGTGCACCCTCGCCTCCTCATCCTTCAAGCCATGGAACTGGATAGAGGATGTAAT